GACATACAACTTCAGAAAGCGATTTAATAAAGCTGCCGGTACTTTAGTCGAGGACCCCGAGTTACCCGAAACGAGAAATTTAGAAATTAACTCCTTTTCATTTTCTCGTCCAGTTATTTCGCAATTTTCAATTTTTTATTTTCATATAATATACTTACTTTTATGTGTAAAAAACATTTGCTTTACATATGATTCTTTTCTAATTTTTATGAGCCCACATAAATGTTCAGCCTTTATGGGAGATTTCAATTGTTAATTATTTCATATGCAAACAGATGAGGAAAATGATAATACTTCCTAGTTTAATAGTATATGTATATTCCTTCCTACGGAAACATATACTTCTGTATGACAGATATTACACGTACCCTCGAGAGAACTACATCTACGCGGAGCAATAGCAATTATCTGTTTTAGATAGCTTTGTTAGACAAGAATGAACTATTATGCCAGAGTCAAGATTTCATATGTACAAGCTGCACTACTCGATTTGTTCCTGATATAATCTCAAAATGCATGTGCATATATTTGTGAAGCCGCTCCGCGATTACTATTAAACAAACCAATTTGTGAGAAACTACGATGAACACTAATTGAACAGAGCATATTAGTTAGATATACTGTAATTAAATGATAAACCAATTTACTGTGGATAAAAAGATTATGGATAAGTTGATTAAGTTAATAAATGTTTCACAGAAAATTGTGGAATTATTTTTATGATGCTTCGCCAGGATATCATGACCTTAGTCTTCTTTCCTTATGTTTTTCTCTTCAGTTTTACCAGAAGTCGCGTTAAAATAGAGAAAATCGGTCGTTACACAGCGTTCGGTCTCGTCTTTAGCGTTCCCGATCCGACCGCTTTACCGAAGTGTGAGCAAACAAGGAGAATTTCGATGGAAATGTCTCCGGGCGCCGGTGTGCTGGTTTCTTTCACTACCTTTTTACTTCAACTACTACTGCGCAAAGAAGAATCAATTTCATCGTCCGCCACCGCCGTCGTAGAAAAGCCTTGAACGCTGCAAACGACCACTTTTAAAAAGATTACATTAAAACTTTGGATGATTCCGAAGTTGAAGTGGAACCTGTCGTTTATCCATCGGTCTCGACAGTTTTTAAAGTTTATACCGATGCCCGAGTATAATTTTCTGGTTAATTGGATCCTGCGACGCGTAGTGCGAAGGAGATTTTTGGAATCAAGTTCAATTAAATGATCACTTTACTTTTCATTAAATCATAAATTACTGATGAAGACTGAGGAATTCTATTGAGTAAAAAACATGCTAAAGTCCTTTGTAGCTTAATGTAAATTTCACTAAAAATAGCAAGTGCCTTCAGAAATTAAATTGCAACGAACGGTAAAATATTTTGGGCAACTGTGTGCACATGGGAAAGAGAGGAGTCTGTACACGAGCGTTTCGGAAAGATATTCGCCTCGTAGCAACTGATGTTTAATCCAGAAAGAACAACGAAACAGAAATTAACATTGCTCTTCAGAGGGTCGTTAAAACCGCCATACGCTGTCGACGACAGTTTGCAGCTACTATCCCCGGTAAGGCCCTCGTCGCTTTAAGGATTAACGAGTGGCTATGTGCCGGTCTCTCCCTCTCTGAAAGTTCCTCCTGGCGTTGCCCGAATCTATCTACTGGTCTGACGGCGGCGCGGTGCGGTGGTTCCTCTATTCGACAAATACGCCGACACTTTCCCCCGATTCTGTGTGATCAAAGAAACAGTGCGGGACGCGTTAAATTCGCGAACGCTGGTTGAATATAAAACGAGAGTGTGGGTACGATCGAGCGGACAATTGCGTTGACATTAAAACGTATTAAACCCGATGCAGTTATCACGCATGTCGTACGTGTCACGAAGACAATAATGGCTTTGTTTCATTATCCCAGCTGAAACGCCGATTTAATACATTAGGCGCGTCAGTTGTATCGATATTAATTAGCTAATATCCACCGTGGAAACGTTTATGGAAATGCGTTCGCGATTATCGGATTCAGATTTGTTACTTACAAATCCAATAACTTGATTAAATTGCAAGGAGGCATAATAGAAGTTTGATGGAACTTGTGTTAATTCTCTATTGTACAATGTACATAGGACTCCTTTTTCCTTTTATATTTTCTATCACTTTCCTCTACTTCTCTCCCTCCACTATCTTCTATTCCAATGCCCCACTCTTATCTCAGTTTGTCTCTTGGTCAATTTTCAAGGAACGTTCCTTCTTTTCTGGGTTTTAGGTCAACAAAGGAGGGTTGCTTTTAGAAAACCGTGAAAGGGAACGAAGACGGAAAAGACGAAAACTGTCCTGGTGATCCTGTCGAGTAGAGGTCAATGGAGCCGTCCTGATGCAGGCTGCAAAACTACGTGGGGATTACCCGTCGTGGTCGTCGGGCTGATTTCAACGGTGAACGGTGGCGATTCCACCCGTGGGTGGAAGCGCCGTTTTCATCACCGCCAACGGCGAATAGTACAGCCACTTCCGCTTCCTCCACCCCACGTGGCCGAACCATTACCTGATAAGGTTGGTCTGACTATGTAATCCGGTATTGATGAAACCTAACAGTCTGTCACAAAAGTAACATCTGTCAAGAACACAAGTGTTGTAACAATGAAAAATTTTAATGCGATACATTTACGAATGATTTTTATAGCTGCATAAGAGTTACGTAGCTATCTGAGACTATGAATATTTTCGTGGACAAAATTGAAATTCATCGAACGAAAACTGAAAACCTCTTGTAAACTTCAGTCACAGAGCAATGGGAAACAATGTTTAGTTATACGTTTTAATAGGTAGATCTCGAAATTCGATGATGTCGATCTAATTCATGGATATTATTTATTTGCCTACTCGTATCTCATATGAGACCATCTATCAAATAGCAATTTGCATTCGCTGAATCATTAATCGTACTAAAACAAACGCAATGTAGCGTATACATTAATAATTGAGCATAGGTATAAATATGTATATCGATGATTGCATAAACCAAGAGATGCAATAATAATTCATATCTAATAACGATTATAGTAATGTTAGTGATAATAATTAATCGTTATGAAAATACGGTTTGTAACCATTCTTAAAGTAATAATTATTTTAACATTGTAACTATCGCACGGTAGCAGTCCAGCCATCAAATATTCATCTTGGCCATCATTAGTTTCCTTCGCTTGACTTTCGTCATTAATCATTACCCAACAAGCTTGCTTCGAGCGACTTTAACATTCAAAGACGGACATGTATTTGTCACATGTGTTTTCCTATTTCATACGAGAACATTAAAACGCTTCATTATAGATTCAATTACGAGAGTGCTCTTATCAGCTCGTTACTAATCTCATTTACCCGCATAATATAATTTCGATATCTGATAGCCTTTGAAACTAAAGCAAAAATGAGATAGACGCTCCAGTTGCTTAATTTTTAATTTAAACTACACTGTTCTCATACATCACATAGATATTTCTTTTAATTCCGTATCAGTTTCATGTTACGTATTTAGAGTAAGTTTCAGCGACTGGGGTTCGGCTTGTTGGTTCAATTTTAAATTTAAATATTTCCCGATGGTTTGGTATTCCCCGATACTCCGAGCGTTCCGTATAATATTGTAATCGATACGCAGAGTCGCAGGTCTCATTTATCGCCTCTACGAGTAGGTATCGATTCACGTGTCAATTATGTAAAAGTGATGTTGCATTTAGGAAGATGTACTTTAGGTACTCGAACAGCCAATATTTGCGTTATCGCTTTGACTTTTCTTCCTGTTGCCTTATCGTTATCCGATCGTATCGATCTGACAGTCACAGTTGATGTATGTTAAAGCACTAATTAACTAGTTGCTACGTCATTGTCGTCTACGTTTGCGCTGTTTGTTCTACAATCAAGGACTCTCGACTCTCAGTTCCGTTTTATTGAAAAATATGCTTGACAGCTGATACCAGACGCTTTTGATAAATAAGTGGATCTCCATCGATATTATCTCCGATATAACGATAAAGTCTCGAGTAGAAAATGTATTCATACACGCGTAATATAGATGTACCTTGAATCCCTTAACGCGTTCGGCTTTAGGATCCGTTTTTCATGCAAATTCTCTATGCTGCAATGAGATTAGAAGCATTTAGTTCTAAGCTCGCTGCATTGCACAAAACATAATGCTAATAATGACATCAAGCTTTATAAACGAGTCAGTTTGAGATTACAACAGCAATCGTTTGTTCTTGTATTAAAAGTGAATATCGCAGGAGTATCTCCATTAAAATAAACATCGTTGATTTTCTCATATCGCTGCTATATGATGCAAATATTTTCACAAAACTGTCAATTCCACTAATGAAGCAAATGAATCGTACCGGTTATAAACGGCAGTTAAGTGACATTTATAAATTGTTTTTGCAAGATGGTGACTTTTGTAATATACGAAATTATACCATCGCTCCTTGTCACCCCAGATGGATGCCACTCGTGCATTTTCTGGTTTCTCTCATGCATACTGCACGTATTACACTCGTGTACCGTACCTGAACCAACGAGGCGCGCCAATCTTAATTATTTCCAATGGAACTGGGTCAGATTTTAAATCGTCGGCGCGATTCAAGTAACTCTTTAACGCATATTTCCCTCCTTTTGTTCAATTAAACCGGGCGAGCAAACAATTCTCGTCTTGATCTTTCGTCGTTCTACTCATTAACACTTCAGACGATTTGTTTCGAGAGCGTCGAGTTTCGTTAAAGCCAAATGAATTAATCTTTAAATACTATTGTTCTGCATTCTATTAGAAATTGTATACTTGTTTATTTCCCGATTGGGAGATTGCTGGATTCATTAATAAGGTTTAAATAAGAAAACCGTACGATATTTTAAAAGAGCAATGAGCTCGTTTACTTGAGCCAGGAAAGAAAATTAGTTTCTGGACGGACAACTCCGTATAACTTTCTTTTTGCCAGAAGAACAGTGTATATATTAAAAGACAATTTCTTCAATTAGAGCTGGAGAAGCGGCCGCAGCCGCAGCCGCCTCGGAGCTCTGAGGAGCTGGAGGATCTGCAGAAGCTGCTGCACTTCCCGGAGGAGGTGGCGCTCAGGTTGACGGAGACCGAGTACCAGCTGTTCTACCAGGTACCACCGCAGGAGTACCTTAGGCAGGTGGCACAAGATCAGAACACGCAGAAAACACCTGCCAGGCCACCCCCGTCGCCGAGTCGCAGCTATCGCAATCCCAGCACCACCAACAGCTCGACCCAGACCGAGGAAGAGTCTAATTGGCCTGTTCCCGACCTCTCTTCTCCTGTTCAGACGCTCATCAATCGTTTTAATGAGGTAATTTCCCGTAAACATTGATAAATACAAATATTATTTTTTTTACTTAAAGTTTTACCTCGTAGACTCGTCTTAAATATTTACTCAAGGAACTATTTTAGATTTCAATTAATTATCAATCAAACTAAATAGGTATTATTTATCGATAAGATATAATTGCTTTTTTCATTGTACTTCAATACATAATATTTAATTTTCGGAGATAATGCGTTTTGTTTTTAAACAGGGATAGATCTCATTTCTCCTGAGCGTGATTTATGTATTGTCATTACCGCTGGCATTTACGAATTTCAGGTGAGCTCATGGGTCACCCACGCAATTACAAGCGGTGCGACGATAGAAGAAAGGCAGGCGATATTGTCCTGCCTCCTACGCGTAGCTCAGACTTGTTGGAATACCGGAAACTTTAATTCAGCCATGGAAATTGTTGCTGGTCTCAAGTAAGTTGTCCATGTACCCAACTGGTCCTCTTTGTCTCTATTCTCCCTAATGTAATAATGTCTAGATAATAAAATGAGCTGTCCGGTGAACTAATTAAACTGTTTGAACTTATCAAGTACGAAATTCTCCACGTCTACTAAAAATTACGTTTGTTCACCTTCTTACAAAATAAAATATTGCACGAGAATCATCACACAATTTTGTTCTTTTTTTTTTCAAATATCTGCTCTCTAAATCGTTCGTAACTATTTCACCAATTTCGTACGCGTGCGGTCTTTAATTAAAATCGGAATTGGATCAGTGTAACTTCCTCCGATGATGTTATAGTGCAAAATTGAAAACATCGAATGTTGAATAAAAAAATATTCTTCAATTAACGTGCATAAAACGCAAAGAGTTAGAAATATTTGATTGTGATCATCGGTTCAAAATCGGTAACGTCAAGTGGAATGTCAAGCAGCTTTCTGACTTCGGTGATCGATTAATCGTAGTTTATTGAAATAATAACATCCTGCAGGTTCTCCTTAATCCACAGTCTTAGGGAACTCAAGCAAAGCGCTGTTCGAACTTGGTCGTCCCGCCGACACTGTGGTGCAGCGGAAAGCCGCTTTAGTTCATGCCTCGAAGAACTCGTCGCTTGTACAAGTTCATTAACTTTTCGCGTATTAAACAGTCCCGCAATTTATAAAATCTTGAAGCTCGTTTTAACCTTTAACCACCAGCCAGATGAACTCGCCCGCTTTGTGAGGTTTCGCGTTTCACAGACGGAAAATACCAAGCGGAACCGAAGGTTTCATTGCATACTCCGCGATCTAAAAAACGCGAACATAAAAAGACAAGAATCTAGAGAACGAGGGGAATATTTGTTTCTTTCCTTCTCAGCGTTTTAATCCAATGATTATTAACAATCTAAAAAGATAATAAACAGAAAAGTAAAAGTTTTTCCAATAAGAACATTGCGTTACTATTTTTCACGATGTTATAATTAATTACGTAAGTTAATGTAAAAAAAAAGTAATTGTTGAATCAAATAGAATTTCCATTTGTTTCTGCTAATAATACAACGAGGACATCCTGGAGGTCGCTTTAAAAACGTGAATGGAAAGGATAAAATAGTTTTTATTACTGACGTCGTAAAGGCGTCAAGGACCATGGCCGTGAACAAAAGGATAAAAGTTGTTAGGTGCTCGTTTCCAGAAACGGTCATCGTCCCGGTTGGGTTGTCCCACATATATCTCCTTCTTACAATTTGCCGCCACCGGCTGTGCGCCCACGCTTCGGTTTCAGTTTCAGAAACTATGCGATTAACCGAATAGTTGAGATTTTACAGTGGTGCACTCGCGGCACCGTGACCTATACTGCTGCAAGACTTGTAATACCGTCCGCGCGATGATATAGTCCTTAAAGAACGATATTAATACCAGAACGCTGCACGATGTTCAAGAATACAAGAACACGGATTATATTAACATTCCAGAGTTATGAACAGCTCCCATAGTACAATCGATAAGCAAATGATTTTCTTGGAAAATTATAAATCTGTATCAATTTTATTACAAGAAATTGAATAAATAATATGATGCTTGATAACATCATAAAATTTTAGTATTTTACAGCTTGAAAAAATGGTGTAAATCTCATGCAATATCGAATGATTAATAAAATAAGAGATCAGTTTTATTTTTTAATAAAACAATTTTTAAATATTCAGCACACTTAAACTTAATTGATAAGATAATATCAAGTTTTGAGAGGCCCAGATTGCGAATCTTGCTTCGCAGATCCAATAAGCTGAAGCCATTCTGGCATAGCGTGAGTGACCCGGTACCAGTTTTGGAAAACCTATCCGCCGCCCTTTTGTCTCACGAGTATGAGTGCGCCCTTGCCCGCGCTCTGTCGATGCCAGAATGTCCGGTGGTGCCATTCTTCGGAGCTTTCTTGCGGGAATTGCGGGAGGTCATAGCGTTGGAGACCAAGGTAAGCCATTAAATTCTATTACCTTCGTATACACATCCGGTGCAACTTGCTCTCGTGATCGCTACCACCATGTCGTCGCATCACCTTGAACAATATGAAACGAACTTTGACGAGTTTCGTCGCCCGCGTAGTGTCACGGGAATTATTAAGATGAATTCAAGTTTCAAAGCCGCAGCTCAGCTAACCGTAGCTTTTATTGTATCACACCACACGTTGCTGATTTCATAAATGAAACTTCGCGCTTTCGAACTGCACCGCAACATCATTTTGTTCCATCCCTTTGAACTAAATGAAGAAAGTATATTAATTTTTGTTATGAAAGACGTACACACAGTAATACGAAACAGTTCAGTGAAATTGGTACGATATGCCGTTGAAATTTAATAGTTGAAGAAAATTAAAAGTGCAAGAGTAATCTCTTTTTCTTAGAACGGGAAACTTACCAACTTCCCTGCTTCTGAAACGATTACTCCGGCCAATTAAATGATCGGGGTTAACGGCGGAGCTGTTTTATTTCTTTAACTAAATGGTAGTCGCCTGCGAAATACATGGTAAAATAGACAACAGGATGAACAAATTTCTCACACGAATGAATTCCGATACTCGAAATACACGACCTACGTGTAAAAATGAAATATGTAATCGTCCATTAATTGTCGGTTTTTGCATTTAAAAAGAGTGTCCTCGCATGAATAAATAATTATCGGATTTTTATAGATCGGTAGATGGTAGAAATTAAATAAATAAAATAAAAAAATAGAGAAAACGATGATTTTGTTCTTTAATATCTAAATTTCTAGATGACTATCAAATTATTTATTTTATTTCCTACTTGAAGAAAAATCTTAGCAATGTTTATTACGTTTATCGTCTTGGTCTGAGGGTAAATAAAAAGAAATCTTATAAAACCCACTACATTCCCTCGACTAGATCAGTATCGCGATCCGATATCAATTCGGGCGCCAATTCAATACTAGTTCGAGTATTGGTTCTAGCTCAATTCTATTCCGATTCAAACTCGGTTCTATCTCACAGGCTCGATTCGGTTCTAGATCAAACTGCGTTTCCGCTTAAGTCAGTTCTAAGCTCCGTGTCACGCGATATCTGTATTCAAACAAACTGTACATTAGTCTTGAACGAATCTATTTTCGGCGTTCAACAATTCCGAACGTACGAGCTAAGTAAGGATAGTTCCATTCCGTACAATTCATTTTATGAAGAATATTCAATGATTTTATTGTATCGAAATAGCGTAAGGATCAAAGTTTGAAAATGGAAGTGCAGTGTTTTATTATTCTTATTTACTACACACATAATACATAAACCTAGAATAAATAATGTCTGTTATAATAGTTGATCTGTTCTTCTTGTTAATATACAATTTTAAATCCTTATGAAAATTGATATTGTCTGACGCTGTTATCGTGTCAGTCACTAGTTGTTCAATTACTTATTTAAACGGCAACACGCGGATGGAAGAAACATAAGAAGGAATGAAAAAATGCGGCGAGGAACCTGCGAGATCGAATGATTTCACAGTTAGGCTTACTCGTGCGATTTGGCAGTGGGCCAAGGAAGTTCCTCGATAAAATTCGTATATCCTTCCGGTCCTTCTCAAAAGCGTCGAACCGTGGAATACGAGCAGCGAACGAGGCCAAAGGTTTGCCCGATACGGAGATACGGGAGAGCTACTCAAATTACCAACCCTTTCCTTACGTTTGACCACTTTTAAAGCGAAAAAAAACACGGATACGGGCTACTAACGTTTATACTGGGATTAGGATACGAGTGCTGGTAAAACCTTCACGCTCTCTTTCCCGATTCAGGACCGACGATTTTCACCAGTGCTGTGTTTACAAAAGCAAGTGGTTGTCGAAGGATTAGAAGTGGTGCAATTGCCTATACAGTACGTATGTACTTCAACACCTGAAGTGTGTGGACAATTCTTAGCTGTTCTTAATTCACAGTCTTTCTATTACTTCTAAATAACAGTAATATTAATTACATTAGTGTAGGAACGAAATAACGGTTTGAAAAGAGATTTTGAGAATAGCGGAACGACCGTCGTAGGCAAAAAGATCGTAAATAGCCGTGCGAACAACAGCGGATCGCGGAGCGTTAATTCGAACGGGTGCGTGTGTGTGCGTGTGAGCGTGAGAAGGAGCGCGAAGCGATTAATCGATTTCAAGAAATTTCATTTGGTAATCGTTAATTGTAAAATATTCGCCCGTACTCTAAACTTGATAAACGAGAGTTAGTACAAAAACATTCTCTTCCTACATTAGTAAAACCATCGTTAATGAAAATAATTATGTGAATACGTAAATGAAAGAATTTTTATATAAATTAGAGATTGCATGAGAGAGCTCTGGTTTAGATTGCATCGCAGGAAATCAATTAAAAATAACGCTGAACAATACTATTTCCTCTATTTTATCGAACATTGAAAATCGATCACAAACTTATTATATCATTTACTACTGTTCGCGCTTTGCCGCGTTTAATTGAATTCACCATTTGCGAACGAATATCATACGATAAACCTTGTACAAAAACGTACAGTAAAAATAACCGATGGTGTAGAATTTTTACAAACAACTGATCCAATAAAAAAATTTCGCTATACCTATTCCCATACGTCGACTCGTTAAACGGTGGCTACGTTTCATTTCTCATTCTCGTACACAATTGCTTTACTGGGAATTGGTATACACAGCGAAATGCAGAATGTTCGCGAGCGTGCGACTCCCCAATGCAACGTCGACGTACATACGAATAATTCGAGCATGCATAATTGTCGCGCGGTGAAGTATTCCGCCGGTAAATTTGCCAGCAAATTGTTGCACCCGTCGAGTATTTATTCTACAATTTGGCGACGTGTCTTATCAGCTGCGATACATCTTATTTTCAGTAATAGGAATTAATTAAAATGAAAATTTCGTATACAGTCTCACGTTTTAATTGGAAAATACGATGGTGTCTTCAATAAAATTATACTGTACGTATAACGATCAAAAAATTATGTATAGATTGTAAAGACGATAATTATATATTTATAATAATTATACCATCTAAAACTGGAACTCTGATTTTAGCAATGTATTTTAAATTTAGATTCGTGAATTTATATCACCTCTTTTGTTACGCTTTTAATTAACGCCTTAATTATCCACGAAAAAGGCGGAACTGAATCTCCATTGTGATTCTGTCTGAGGAAGATGGAATCGACGAGGAAAGAAGGAGGAAGAGGGAGAAAAGGAACGAAGACGTGTGTGGCGATAAGGTTAGGGGTTTCTATCGGCCTCCAGCAGCGACGATGGTTGTAGGCCGGCGGAAACTACTTGCTCTTGTCGCTAATGATCGTCGCCTTGAAAGACGTCAGCCACGGTTTGGACTCGTCGCTTCTTTCAATATTTTAATGAACAATATTCAGATACAATTAAGGACCTGCTGCGAATTCCTCAGCATTATCTGTATGATTTTTGTGCGAAATTTTATTATTACTTATTTTATTTCTTACACACGTTTGCAAATATTATCTTTTTAAGTGAAGAAAAAAGAAGATTAATTTTCGTAAATACGTAATTAAGCAGATGTATTTAATATACTGATAAATGTAATAAATAAATATATGAAATATTTAACGACAAACGAATTTCGAATTGTATTTCTTGATCCGCATCTAAATGGTCGTAAAACGACTATTAGAAGCATTACGAACGTGACACAACCGTTTATTTCATGCTGGCAAGGTCAAACTTTTTCTGTAAACGATAGAAATATGTCCGAAATGCGATACTATAATTTGCATAATGCGTAAACAAGAATGGAAAATGGAGCCGACGTGGGGCATATGCACACAGAGTATACAAAGCACACACGCGAGCACCGATGGGAACTACTTTGCGTGGGAATGATCTAACAAGATTTCGCCCACGCGGCACGCGAAACCGTAAAGCAGTTAAAACGTAGCTGATAAATTTCGCCCGGGCGATAAAAAAGCATCTCGCTTTACACTGAAACGAGAACCGCGGGCCGGTATTCCGGGCAGCGGCGACGCGCGGCTCGTTGAAACACCGCGTATCTTTGTGACAGGTGGACATTCTCTAAATTCGAACGATAGCGTCGTCGTCTGTTCGCAATGTTCCTTTCCTAACGTTCGTAGCGATAAAGCTCGGTCACGGCACGCTCCCCGTAACGGGGGCGTAGACCTCTTTCGTGAGCGAGCGAACGATTCCTTTTCCAACAGCTAGGGGAGAGAAAAATGACCGAAACGTTTTAGAGAAGACCTTCGAGAAGAGAGGAGCTTCGTGACGTGCCCGTGACAATTACGATTCCCTCCGAGCTATACTTAGCCGATCGTGAACCATCAAACCCACTGACAGACAAACGATCTTCTAACGGATGACACTAAGGTCGAATAGCTCTTCTCTCAAGACGTTAAGAAATACTTGCGAACGTTATAAAAATAATAGCTGAATGAATAACTCTGACATACGTTAGTCTTAAAAGATTCATTGTATCTGTTAATAAATAAATTATATGTCAAACGTCTATACAAGCAGAATTAATTTATTTTACTGTTACAAGTACATCATAAAACATGTTGGTATTAATGAGTCATACAAAGGTGAACAGAAAATGGTACGGCGTCGAAATTAATTCCAGGGGTGACAAGTTTCCTCGATACAGAAGTGTCATTTATCTCCGCAGGGTATATATCTTGTTGTCGTTACGCAAACATCGTAAAATTGATCGTGACGGCAATCGAGCCGAAGAAGCTGTGGATTCTCAGTCTCAGAACGGCCTTAATTCTTTCGACAAAGGGCTTCGTCAACTCGTTGGATCCTGGACAAGGGCTGTAAATCTAAAGGGTTTAACCGACGTGTCCCGAGAACGCGCGCCGCATTCCAGAATGTTGATGACAAATTCAAGCTTTCTTGGTTAAAACCAGAACGACAGTTTCATCCATCTTTCACATTACATTCTGTATTTTACGTCAACATTTTTTGCATAAATAGACTACGTCTGTTTATTTTTTAAAGTATCCAGGTGTATAATTGAGAAGTTTACCATTGCAGAACTTGGCACCGCAATGAATTTAAGTAATTCGATTTATATTTAATTTCGGCAATTGGTGTTACACCTGAAAGTTAGACGAGCGACTAGTTTCCGTAAATTCGGTATTATACTCTAACGGTGTTACGGTACCGCGCGAACTTTTATGTGGTAAGAAACTTTTAGAATAGCATCCGAGGTAGAATCGCTTACTCCTCAAACCGAACACGAATCGAGTACTTCGCCAAAATAACTTCCAAACTGCAGACGTCATTTCTGTGAAATCTGGGCCAAAAGTGGACGAACTTCCTCCTTTTCTTTTATGGCTTCTCGCAATGCACTTTCTTTTACCGAGTGCAAACGAACTCTTTTCTTAGATACATTTCACTTTTACGAGTAGGTGATAAATTTATTTGCAGCAGAGAAAGTACCGCAATGCAATCTATCATTGATTAAACACTTGCGTTTCCGCACAGCAAGTGTTACCAAGTAGTTACAATTTCATTGGAAGTTTTCATTGTCAGTTTTATCAATAAAAAATAAACTCTGTTAGTTCTTGACATATTATTAGATTATTTAGCATTATCAAACTTCGTGCTAGTTTTATTGTTCACGCGAGGCCGAGATCGCGTGTCGCAGAAAGGCAATTCTCTAAAGAAAGCGCCTTTCGTGAGAAAACTTTGTCTTTTATATTCCTTTAGGAAATGAAAATGTGTGAATCCTTGTACCGAGTGCGCTACGTTTTCAAATGCGGCTATAAAATGTTCATGTCGAATACTCAAGATTGAGCCATAAATGGAGAATATACGAGAAAAGTTGTAATATAAGCGCACGTATCTGAGAAACATCTTTACGGAATGAACATAATTGTAAATTGAACATAAGATCGCATCGAGAAAACTGTAAGAGGAAATTAGAGAAAACGCAATAACGACCCAAGATAAATTCGAGCATCAAGAACGATTATCCTTCTCTTATTTCAATTCGGAACCATTAACACTAGATTGCCGAAGCTAGTCAATTTGATTCATTGTTCAAGACTTGAAGTTCAAGTATCATGCAAAACAAATAAAAATA